ATTTCGTAACTTAATTAAATTTATAAAATACTATATATAAAAAAAATTTTTATTTTTAATGTTTCAATATATAAATTTTATATGCTTTTTGATCGAATTAATACCAAATTAAAGCCAATTTTAGGCTAATTTATGGTTATTTAAATTCTAAATTAATGTCAAATGATGTTGAATTTAAATCAATTTTAGGTTGATTTATAGTTATTTAAGTTCTGAATTAATGCTGAATGATGCTGTATTAAGATCAATTTTAGGCTAATTTATAGTTGAATTTAAGTTCTGAATTGATGCTGAATGGTCAGCCGTAAATAGTATCAAAATCAGCCTAAAATCAACTATCTAATTTTTAATAGATTTGAACTATTTTAACCAGTATATGGAATTTCTAATGTTTGAATACTGTAAATCTAGAAAAAAAATATTATTTTATATAATATTATTTAAATTTTTTATATATAATTTAAGTTTATACAAGGTGTATATACCTGTATTATATGATATATATTTATTAATAGTATTTCACTTCTCTATCTTTATTTTTTACTATTTATTTCAGGAACTTAGAATTTTTCAGTGAAAAATTCTTATTTGTCACATCTTATCTGTCACATAATCATTATACAAGCAATTTCTTAAATATTTTTATATTGATAAAAGTAATATTAATACTAACTGTATCATGTGATCTATATGTATAAATAGAAATTGCTATAATTAAATACCTATATATTAAATATTATAATTATTAAAAAATATTATTAAAATATTATTATATTTATTATCAAAAAATTTATTATTATATAACAATTGTTTAATTAAGAATTTATATAATTAATATCTTTAAATAAGTTTAATATATTTAATTTTTTACTTTTAAAATTATATAATTGATTTATATATATATTTAGTAATATAAAATAAATATTATATAATTAATTTATACTTATGTCAAATAATTATAAAATTTAAAGAATTTAATTTATTCTTATAAAATTATAAGTAATTATATATTTATTAATTTAAAATAATAATAACATTATTAATTAATAATTAATTATAAATTAATTAGAATTAAATATAATAAAATATAAAATAAAAATATAAAAAATTATAATAAAATAAAATATTAATTATATATTTATACTTTATTTTTAATGATTAAAAATTTAAAAGATTTAATTTAAATATTAAATATAAAGAAATTTATTTATATATAAAATAAATAAAAACTTTTGCTAACTTATTTTCTAGGTAAAATCACCTATATGATATATAATAAGTGGCAAATAGAATTTTAAGCAATAAAAATTTTTTAAGTTCCTTGATTAATTATTAAAAATGAGATATAGAAAGTATGACACATTGCGAAAATAAATCATAATTCTAAACTTAATCTTAACAAACCCTAATTATATGCTTAAATCTAATTCTAAATAACTCTAATTCTATGAGTAGATGAAATTTTACATATGATTATCCAGGTAAAATTAGTCTTAATCTTTTAATTAATTAAATTTAAAAAAATTTAAATTTAAATTAAATATAATATTAAATAGTAAAAATTATTATTATAAATGATTAAAAATATTGTTAATTATTTTATATTAGTAAACCTTATCTGAATTATTTTTAAACTTATTAATATAATTTTCAGTTTTTAAATATTAAAAGTTATAAGTGTATATAATTAATTCTATTTATTTTTTACATTTACTACAATTTTTTTATACCATTTACAATGTACTATATAACTATACTTATTATTATGTATAACAAAATTTGCTATCATGTTAAATATTATTTTGAATTGCATGAATGCTTTAGATGTAAATTTTCCTTTGCTTATTATACTGTATATTAGTTTAGAAAAAATACTTATAGATTTGATGTAATATTTATTAAAAAAAAAAAAAAAAAGTGTTTTATAAGCAAATAAGTATATCAGAAAACCTTTAAAATAAAAAACTACTACTAAATCACAGTATTTTGTACATGTACAATATCTTGATTTACAAAAAAAATTGAAAAGGTGAAAAGATGAATCAATAGAAAAAAAATAAAATTATTAAATTACAAGGTTTTGGCTTCCAATTCAACCCCTAAAAAGAATCCGTGATCATATCGAAATAAAAACGCTAAGATTCATATAAATTATTTCCTTATGTTAAACATACCTAATTGTATTAAAATTTAAAAAAAAATTTCATTACTAATTCTCTAATAATAATAAATAAATAATCCAGGATATAAATTTAAATCAAAAGCCTACTTTTGCATATTCGTAAATATCAAACATAAATTTCTTTTGACCAAAATTTATTTGAATACTTTCTCTTGAACTTCCCATACCAATCATAGGATAGAGATTATTACTTTTAACACGAGTAAATGCCGTTCCTAGATTGATAAAACATTAAAATATTCAACAAATTGAAAATATTATAAATCATATAAAACCTTTTTTTAAAAGACATTTACCCAAGTGTAAACCATTCTTAGTGAAGAAAATAGTATTATTTAAAAAATTAATTCCGACACCTATCGTATCACCGGTGGTAAATACTGGGCCATATTTCTCACCAGTATAATAGGATTTACCATCATCTCCATGATACCCATATGATTTACAATTCCATCCTATTAAACAAAAATATAAGTAATAATTAAAAATGAATGAGGATTGATTATATTACCTGGCATACTATTTAATGGTATGTCCGGTTCACAAAATCCAAGTCCAATGCGTCTGATCAATTTATAATCATATTAGTCTTAGATAAAGAAGTATTTTGCGTATTTATTAATTAATTTAGATACTAACCCATGAACACCTCTATCAATTATAACTATTTCGTAATAAAATAATCCGAGTTCGGGTGGCACGTAACGGTTTGCTCTTATAGCACCAGCGTCACCATATCCATCTGCTAACATAGGAAATTCTCATATTTAATTATTAAAGATCGGTTTTGCTAGTAAATTTGAATTGTAATATTTACATTTACAACGAATTATTAGTCCATCGTCACTGACTTGTAATCGAGGTTCTGAATCATGTTTATTTAATCTAGTTGGTAATTTAACTTTATCTGTATGAATATAATTATAACTTGGTGAAAATTTTAAATATGATGGTATACAATTTTCATTTTTTTTATCCATATTTACAGTTCTGAGACTCCCGAATGATCAAAAAGTACATCATTCTTTTTTATAGTTTTTATTTAGCAGATCTTACTTGGAATAGAAAAAATTTTGTGAATCATTTAAAAAGAAAATGATCGATGAGACCGATAAGTTGAGACAGAGTCCCTCTCTATAGTCACACCCCCTTTATAAGCACACTTACAAGTTACTAATAAACTTATTAAAAACCTCTCTTTAGTCACATCATATAGTATTTTTATAATCACATCATTTTTTTTCTGTCCGAGGGGTGTGACCATATCGAGGGTCGACTACATTGTCATTAAGAAAGTAAATTAGAAAGTAAATATAACGCCAGTAAAATCAAAAAAAATCTCTTGGCATCCCTAGTTTTTTTTTAAGTTAGCATTTTCCTCGCAAAATAATCCAAAATATGATAAATTAAAAATACATGTAAAAACGGTTAATTGTGCTATGAACTATTACTAAAATGGAATAAAGTTTCTACAAATGATTTTCTGTAAATCACGATATTTAATATTTTGTTTATTATTATTTATAACAAGAATATACAATCTTAATACGCTAACAACCATTGGTATTAGTATCATTACAGTAGATTAACAATTAACTTTAAAATTATCTTTATATAATTAGTAAGATTTTGTAATTCCGTTTATGAACTTTGTAATAATCAATAGTATTTAGGATGTATTTTAGTAACTATTATTATATTTGTTTACCCTAACCATTACCTTTTTTTTGTTTTTAAATTTGATGTAGTACAATTTTGATTTTGTTTAGATAACATAACAATTCATTACAAAATTTGATTGTTATGAAATTGATTTTCGTCCGAAGTTGGAATTCGATTGTTTGAATTGAGATTCCAATTTCAGTTAAATTCCACCCTTTTTGTTAACTGAATTCCAACTTCAGACAACTTATATAGGGTGTTTTGAAAATTGGAATTCCATACCCGAATTCCTAAATTTAGAATTTGATATTTCTAATGACTTTTACCTTTTTATGTATAACGATACAATTTTACACTATAAATGAATCGATGAATCCATCAGTGCAGAAAATTAAAAAAAAAAAAAAAAAATGTTTAAAATCTTTGACAAAGATTGGCATAATTGGTCCGGTAATCAAAAGAGCACCCCTACCAAAATCTTTCAACCGAAAAATTTGCAAGATATAAAAAATATTATTGAATTAGCGAAAACGAATCATAAAAAGATTCGATGTTCCGGATCCGGTCATAGTTGGAGTAGTTTAAGTGTTACCAATGATTATTTGGTACTTAACGAAAATTTGAATAAAATCGAGATTAATTTTAATGAAAGGTTGAAAATTTGGACTGCTACCACCGAACCTGGTAAGTATAATTTAAAAATCTCTCATGTTTCGAATAATCCGCTCACTTTTTTGATATTATTAGGTGTGAAGCTCAAAGACCTTGATAACGCTTTGTCGGAACATAACCCTCCGTTAACTTTAACTTCCGCAACGGTATTGGATAACGTGACAACTGGAGGAGTGGTCGCACCCGGTTGTCACGGTGCGAAATGTGACAATGCAACCATTTCGGATAAAGTAATCTCAATCCAAATCGTTACATCTTCCGATGGAGAAGTTCATGAATTTTCGGATGAAATAGATCCTGAAGAAATGAGCGCTGCTAGAATCAATTTGGGTAAAATTTTTTATTCGTTAAATTGATTTGAATTGATCGTTTGATCCCTCAATAAATTTTATTATTAATAATAGGTCTCTTGGGGATCATATATAAGATTACTTTCGAAGTTGAGCCAATGTTCCATTTAGAGATGATCGATACCACCCCAGACATCAAAACTGATTGGAACGCGTCAAACATAAAGAGAATCTTTACAGAGTCTGACAGTCTTGAAATATTTTATTGGCCATTCAATACTCCTGAACTTGAGGAAGAGAATGACAAAATTTGGATAAAACAACATAAAAGGACACAAAGTCCAGTTGAAAAGTCAGAGGGCCACCTCAAGTTTGAACGTGTTTTACAGACTTTGTCGGTTAAATTTGGCGATCATATTTACGATTTCATGACCAAACTTCCAACCTCTACACCTTATATAACTCATCTTCTTTTCGAAGCTTCGGTTCATGAAAAAGAAGTAGTTTTGTTAGCTCCGGACGCTATCCATTATCAGGTAAGTCGTCTTAATATGGATTTTCATCACGTGAAAATATCGTTCACTTAATTCAATTCCATTGACCTTTAGGCCGGTATCAGCAATATTCCATGTTTGGATTTGGAATTTTCCATCAAAGTTGATCAAGACTTTTCCAACGTTATCGAAGAAGTCAATTACATCGTTAGAAGGGTTCGTCGTCAACTTGATGCTTATTATCATCTTTTCTGTATCAAATTCTCAAATCAACTCAACCTTTAAAAAATCTTTAACACGTTTAAACAGATTTACGAAGAAGCCAGCAAAAAGAATTTCCCCGTAAACTTGACAGCTGAATTACGAATCAACAAATCATCACGTTGCTTATTAGCTACGACATACGACAAAGATCCGGATGTGAATTTCGTAATGCTTGAAATTTTATCTGTCAACGGCACAAAAGGGTTTCAAGAATTTTCCATTGAATTGGCCGAAAGATGGATGTCAAAGTATAATGCTCAACCACATTGGGCTAAATTGTGGGAATACGTGCCAAATATTATACCACACATAAAAAAATGTTTAAGTGTAGATGACCGTCTTAATAGGTTTGAAAAAGTTCGTGCTAAATATGATCCTGAAGAATATTTCTTTGATAATAAGAATTTAAGAGAAATTTTCGGTAAGGAAGGCGCTCTATAAAAAGTAATTTGATCGAATGGTTCATTTCGACTCTGAGAAAACTAAGAAAAAAAATAACTCTTCGAAAAGAATGACGCAAAACCAAAGACTTGAATCAATCTCATTAATTATTTCAGAAACGGGTTCTTCGATATATTTATTTCAATAAAAATATTTTATTTTATTCTTAAATATAAGTAATTTCATGGGGAGTTAGGAATATCGGAGTTTTTTTCCCTACGGGAAAAAAACCAACGGTATTCCGATCCCCATGAAATTATACCAACTGCTTTTGTTAATATCGCGTTAAATTTGACCAAAATAACTTTTGTCTAATGTTAAAATATGCTAGGGATAGTAGAATCACAAAACTTTTGACAAATGATGATAACCAATTATTGACACTGAATTCAACTTTGAAAAAAAAAAAAAAAAAAAAAAAAATGATCGTGCAAATCGTTAGATTATCAAGTTTGATTTTGTTTTATATTGAATGTCATCTTTATACTCGAATTCTTTTGAAAATTCTTGATATTTGGCTAAAAATTGAAAGTTTAGTTATTTGTTCTTTCAAAATCAAAAATAAATATATATAAATATATAAAATATAACGCTCACAATAAAAACCTAGATTATTTCCAAAATTCCTATGACATTTCACTAAATTTATGGTTTGTAAAATGGTGACAAGTAATCCCAAGATACCTTCATTTAAATTAATCAATTAGATTACGTATTACGTATTAAAAATCAAACGATTAAAATGTAAACGATACTTACTGAATATAAATAAAATGATGTACCAAAAATCATACCTTATCAAAAACCTAAATTTACATTGATGTTCATTTATTGGATCATTCAAACAATAATGATATATGTTTTCAATTATAGCAACAAATTCACATGTATTTCCAAGATATGTTATAATCATTAACATTTGTGATTCATCTCTTATCTAATAATTTTTTTTTTAAAAAAAAAAAAAAAAAAAAAAAAAAAAAAAAAAAAAAGTTGATGAGATTCAAAGAAATCAAAATAAAGGTCAAAATTCACATTAGCAAAAACTTAACTGCTTTTGGAATTAACAGAATATACATATGGAATAAAAGGTACCAAGGAATAATACGAAAATACAAGATATCTGTATCAATCCCATATACAACGCTATTCACATAATAAGTAATTATATGCGTGGTCCACGTAAAGTAAAATATTATTCCACCCACTACCCCCTGAGCATGCACCAAAGCCAACTGTCGCTGATAAGTCGTATACATTCCTAATTAAATTAAAGTTGGGGTCAAAACTTATAACAATTGATATAAGTTCACTTGAATAAGATAATAAAAACTTGCGTTTAATATGCTGATTCTTTGTAATTTTCAAATCTTTGTATATTGGCCAAATCCTAATTAACAAAGTCAAAATATATACATTATCTTACTTTTTTTTTAAAAAAAAAGACAACAAAGGAATCATAAATTTCATACCCCTTAATCCAGAATAACATTAAAAACATTATAATAATTATTTCAAAAATCACCGATGTAATTAATTGAATCGTATAACTTTTTTTTGAAACAATTAGTAATTGATGAGTATTCTGAACACCAGGAAAACAATTTATATCTCCACATGAATATAGGAAAGTTACTATTACAATGTTTCCTATCACCATTGGAATATTGACCATACAAAACATCATTCCATGTAAAGCTGTTCTTTGTAGGAACTGAGAAATACTTTAGAAAAAAAATAGATCACAAAAATCAATAAATCCTTTGTATTAAATTAGTAATATACCGTAAATATTCCGGAAATGATATAAAATATAAAAAATCCATCGAAAAGAATTACGAGTAAAATGATATTTTTAAACATAAACAATAAAATGTAAGTCGATATAATTAAATTTATTAAATAATATAAAATTACGGTAAATAGGAAGGATGTTTCGAAATGTGTGCTTTGGTAAAGAATGTTGCGTGATGACATTTTTGGTGAAGTTCCCATTTACTTTTTCCCGCACAAAGCCCTACACACCGTTATTATACAAAATTTTTCATTGTATAAATGAATTATGGTGGCTGTTATCACGGTGATATTTAGAAAGACGGGTGCAAACGAGTTTTTTGGAAATTGGTAAAGAAGCTAGCCCCGAATTGGTAATAATTAAAAAACATCGATCTTTTTTTGGAGATCGCGTCTTTGATGTTGATTTATGTAAAACTAATAATTATCTACACGGATGATTCTTCAAAATAGTGTCGTTGAAAATTCTTATCCTGTTTTATTAAATCAATGAAAATAATTTTGAAAGGCAATAAGGCTATCAAAATAGTAGGATCAACAATTCGCTGTGGCTTTCAAATAAAATTTCATTATAAAATTCTTCATTTTATCGGTCACATCCAAAATATTTAAACATGAACATTCCAAAGGATTCTTTGCAAACTTCTAGCAAGGAGGCTTTTCGTTTTTTTCAAGGATATTCCTTTCTAGAAAAAATCTTTATCATATCATGTTTTGTTCACTATCTTATAAGTATAATTTTATATTCACATATGATTTATTTAAATAACCCATATACACGATTTTCATACCTTGGAAATGGAATTGTATTCATTTATCTTATCTCTTCATTCATTACTGTATGAACATTAAAAACATATACTATATGAATTTTACTCAAACGAAATATATATATATTTTTTTTTTAATAAAAAAATATATTTTTTTAATAGGTTCGACAGAAATCCGTATTACATGGAATATATTTTTGCATCGTTAATGCAATTTTCACCTTTCAACGTCCATTATCAATCAAAAAATGTCAATTTACAAATTGTGCATTGTTGAATACATACGATGATTATTGGTTGCATATCATAAATATTGAAACTATCTATTTATTTCTTGAATCAGTTATATTTGAAATGACGATAGTTGTATTGATATTTTTGCTTTGGAAAAATCAGTAAGTCTCTAATGAAAAGGAGTATACAAACACAAGAACTAATAATTTTAATTTTGCTCCCAGAACTTGGACGGTTGTAAAAGATTTTAACATCACAAGGCATCAAATCATAAAAAGTAAATAACTGATTTTATTTTTCATGTATCTGATTTGAATAATAATAACAATTTTTAAAATGTTTAAGGAATGCACGTCACATATCAAATCCAACTAGTTTTGGTACATGCTCAAATCATAACGACATTAATTTTAGCAATTACAATCTGGATGGTGGAAGCTAAACATGCCCATATAAAAATCGTTGCTTATGGAGCCGAAATAAAGGAGTTATGGAACAATTTCTTTATAGCTTACTCTATTCTTCAATTTTACATTCTATTGGTGATTAAAGCAGTTAAGTGTCACAACGAATTTAATAACACAAGCCTTTAAAAAGTCTCCTTCTAATGATGATTTCACTTTTAGATCAGAAGTGAATCACATCTTTTAATGGGTATTGTGTATGTTGGTAATGGGTGTGAATGGTTAGCGTTTTTCTTAAAAATATACAGCTGGTGTCCAGATGATCCTTTGAATGAAAGTAAATCTAGATGTGAATTTTGGAACTTGCTTAAAGATAATTTTTGGTATAAATTTTTTTTTATAAACAGTAAGTAATGAAGTTTTGTTATTAATAACCCGTGAAAAACGTGCTTATTAAAATACTTTAATTTTTAATACAGCTATCGTGAGCTTAATCATAATCTTTATTCAAAATATTAACACTATAAGATGTCATCGAAATTTTGGAAACAACCTTGGATTTTATTGTAAGTCGAATTGTACAATCTATTACTTACTTTCCTTATTATAAATTTAAAGCATTTTTTTTTTTGTTAGTGAGATATCAAAAATCACCCGAGTTCGAGTACAATGATCATCTAATTTAATCCTTTTTGCTGCGTGAATTTTAATATAACAATTCACGAAAAATGTAATCATTTTAATAAAAAAATTTTTTTTTCATAATTTAATTCGGAAATTACACGAAAAAAGATGTAACAACCAAAATTTTATTTCGTTATTAAATAATGGCGAAATTGTAACACGGAAAATATCTTTCTTGGAATCCTGTGAACCCGTGAATCCGTGGCGCAATTTTTAGGAAACCAAATCTGGATTTAAAAAGTTTTTGAATAAGTATCTTTGCTTGTCAAATATAACCTATTAATCATTTTTAAAATTTTCTAACAATTTTATCAAACATGATAATTTTTAATCAAAATGCTTTTTTACAAAATTCGATCAATTTTAATTTTCGCATTTTCTCCTCGAATTATTCCTACCTAGAAAAAATCTTTGTGATTGTATGCTTCATTTATTACACTTCAACCTCAATTATTTATGCACATATGCTTTATGTACTTAATCCAGATACCCTATCTTCGTTTCTCACCCTCGGAATTGTACTTATTTATACTGCTGCTGCAATAGTTACGGTACGAACAATAAAAGATTAATTTGAGTTGAATTTTTTTTTTTTTAAAAAAAAAAAAAATCATTAAAAAAAAAAAAATTTCTTTTTGAATAGGTTCAGCAGAAATCTGTATTACATGGAATAGTACTTTGCACTTGGAATTTAATCCCCGTTTATCTTACTTATGTTTTGATCAAAACAATACCAAAATGTAAAATTACAGAATGTTCATCAAAGACAGATTCTGATCTATACATAGCAAAAGTAGATGGATACTGTTTATTTATTGAAGCAATTCTCTTTGAAATAACAGCAATCGTAATGACGTTTTTATTTTGGAGAAATAAGTGAGTTCTAATAAAAATATATATATATATATATATATTTTTTAACTACAATTACGAATTAATAATTTCTCTTTTTAGAACTTGGCAATTTTTCAAAGACTTTAAGATTACAAGGCATAAACATATCAAAAGTGAATAAATAATTCATGTTTACAATTTGTGCACCTTTTATATTTTTGTTATTAAACAGGATCCTCATTTTTTTTTTTAGGAATGTATATAACGTATCAAATCCAAACAGCATTAATTCATGCTCAAATGGTAATAACATTATTATTAGCATATACAGTATGGATGATGGAATTATTGGCAGCTCATATGAAAATAGTTATGTTTGGAGCTGACATTAAAGAATTATGGGCCAATCCCTTTATACATTACTTCATCTTTCAATTTTATATTTTATTAGTACTTAAAGCGGTTAAGTGTCGTTCGATTTAAACAAGTTTTTTTTCTTTAAAAATAATAATAATAATAATTTTCCATGTTAACTTGAATTTTTAGATTAGAAGTGAATCACACCTTTTGATGGGCGTCATATATTTGGGTAATATTGGGGAATGGTTAGAAATTTTCTTACAAATATACCATTGGTGTCCAGTTGAACCATTGAATCATAGTGAGACTAGGTGCCAATTTTGGAACTTGGTTAAAAATAATTTTTGGTATAGATACATTTTTTTATACAGTAAGTAATTCATTTATTTTTTCTTTTCATCGGGTGATTTAATGCCATTTATTTTAATTTTGTTTTGATTCCTAGCTATCGTGGCCTTATTTATAATTTCAATTCAAACCATAAACACTATAAGGTGTCATCGGAACTTTGGAAGAAATTTTGGATTTTATTGTAAGATAAAGAACATCATCACGTTCATGCGTTTTTGTAAAAAGAAAAATGAATTTATGTTTTAATCATTCATTTTGTAGTAAGGTACCAAGAATCACCCGAATTCGAATACAGTGATGATGTCCCTTCATTCAATAATGAGAAAAAAAAACGTTCAATTATAATATAAATAAAGCAAGGTTTTTTTAGCAACCAGAAATGATTATTATATGGATGATCGTACCTTACTGACCATCGCACTGCAACTTGTACTCCCGTAATTTTAAAGGAGGTTGCACAAGATTAATTTTATTGTTATTTACATCTGCACAGATCCAAGTCTTGGCAAAAGGGAGTGACATTTCACAGTATCTCAAACTTTAAAATCGATTTTAGAATTTAAAAATAGCTCAAACCCAAAACCTTTAATTAATTTTTTCGGTTTTTATTCAGATAATCATTGACAAAAATCATTATGCTCATTATTTATGGCAATGAAGGACGTCGACACGTGATTTCTGCGGCACTTTTCAGATGAAAAAGGTCAGTGCAATAACGTTTAAAACGAATCAGGACTCCTGCTTTAGATATAAATGGTTTAGTACGGATTTAACATTAAAATTACAATGCGTTTCGTCACTCTATTTTGTCAAATTAACCTTTGCTATATAAAAATAACGTTTACCTTTTCAAAAAAAAAAAAAAAAAAATATACACCCGATTTCAGCTTTTTTTTTTTTTTTTTTTTTTTGAAAATATGTACAAAAGATGGATTTCGGATTTACATCCCTTGGAAAAGAAATTATTATTCCTTACCATATTTTATATAATGATTTCGGTTTCATTAAATGTCAGAATAATTGTTTTGCAATTTAATTCTATTATGAATATTTCTTGGTTGTATTACCTGACCGTTGTAATTTTAATCATTGG